CCTATCAAGTCCTTGTTGCTGCCCCCTTCCCCCAGTAGCAGATATTTTGCTCCTGGTGGCCAAAAGCAATGGGTTCCTCTTGGAGATGGTGCTAGCATCTCATGCTCCAAGCTCTCCTGTCCACAAACCTCCCAAACGCAAGCCTTCACCCACCCAGCCAAACTGGTTCCTGTCTCTCCACCCAGCACTGCACAGAGAAATTTCAGGAGCAAAAGAATCCTGAAGCCACCGGTCCAGCTCTGTCCCCTCTCTCTTAGGCACTTCCAACTCTGCTGCCCGAAGGAGCCATCATGTCATGCTCAGTCCTGTAACACAGCCTTTGCAGTGTGTCACAGCTCCTGTGAAGCTGATCTCAAGCTCATTCTCCTGCTTTTTCCCCGGTCCCTTCACCCCCAGATACCCATGGAAACCCACCTCCAAATATCCAAACCAGTACTTTCCTAGACCATTTGTTCCAGCTAATCTCACCTTTTATGGTGCTGCTCTTAGAAAAGCTTATGCAAATTATATAGCTGCAGCGTTACCATTGAAATAACCATTGGGAACAACCAGCTAAAAGTAAATCATGTAAATGTTCTAGGAACAGCACATGCAGCAGAAACAGGGAGAGGAGATTTCTGCCCATGTGCTCCAGGAACAGCTTGAACTCAGACCTGTAGGACATGTTCAACCTCCCTCCAACTGGAGGAGATACCTTACTTGGTATACAGTGAGAGATCACATGGACACTGTAGGTCAGTCTTAAAGTCACTGTTAAAACACCTAAGCTAAATTTTCACACCAAACATATAAGATAATTCAGTATTCAGTATTTTGCAATACTCTGGTGACAGCAGTGTGATCATATCTTAAAGGTCCAAATGAACCCCACAGCATTGCCAGACCAGATCCTATTCCCAGCTATACCACTGTCATGGTGCTTTTCCAATCTTTAATGGCCAGAGGAGGAAATATTGTGAATAACAGAGCTGGGTGGGTGTCTTCACCTCCAGAAGGTGTTAGGGAGAGCTTGCTGTTAGCTGTGTATGAGGCAGTGCCTCCAGATGCCAACCACAGACAGGCTTCGCTCAGAGCAGCCGCTGTCCTGGAGGAGCGACAGCAATGGCCAAGTCAAGAAACACAGGAGTGGGCAGGGTTGCAGAAAATGAAGCAATAACTTAGAGGCAGAAATCACAATACATGGTCTATCCAATCTAGGTCTTACTTAGAGGAAAGATGGTAAAATAGGATCAGAAAATGTGCAGAGTACTAGCGAAAGGCAAGCCTTCCTTCTCTTTGCAGTGGCTGTGAATGGACAGT